TGTAATTCATAGGTGTCAAAATAAGATTTGATTTGTTTAGATTTAAATAGATTTGAATTTAAATCTAGATTAGATTTGATTTAGTAAAGAGATATTTTGGGCTTGGGTTTAGCTTAGGGAGCAAGCTAACCTAAATCTATAAATAAGAGGGAGTAACCCTTATTTTGTAATTCAAATCAAGTCATTCACAGTATTTTGCAGTTGCAAAGTGAATTAATAAAGATTCCACAGTTTGTGGGCAGAATAGAAATTATGCAGAAATATCTCCATTGTTCTTTTCTTTGTTTGTTTCATAACTAATCATCAAGTGGTGGTCGAAATTCATCATAGTGTATTGGTGGATTTCCAACATCTGGTATCAAGAGCTTGTGTTTCGATTCAAGGGAAGTGTCAATCAAGAACGATTGAAGAATTCACGATGACAAGTTATGGGAATGCAAACTATCCAGCAACGCTGCCAATTCTGAAAGTTGACAACTATGAGAATTGGTGCAAGCAGATGAAAGTCCTATTAAGGTGTCAAGGCCTTTGGGACCTTGTAAAAGATGGAGTCGAAGCGCTTGGCGAAAACGCTTCAGAAGAAGAAAAGAAGAAATATACAGAATCTGAAAAACAGAGTTATAAAGCATTGTTTATAATTCATCAATGTGTCAGCCTAGACAATTTCGAGAAGATTGGTGATTCAGAATCTGCAAAAGAAGCTTGGGAGATCCTTGAGAAGTCTTTTGGAGGCGCTGAGAAGGTGAAAGAAGTGAGGTTACAAACTCACAAAAGAACCTATGAACTGCTTCAGATGGAAGACAGTGAAAACATATCTGATTTCTTCACTAGAGTTACAAAACTAGTGAATCAAATCAAAACATGTGGAGAAACATTAACAACAAGAGCTGTTGTTTCGAAGATCCTGAGATCCTTAGCCCCGAAGTTCGACCACATAGTGGTGGCAATAGAAGAAGGGAAAGACTTGTCGAAATTGACAAAGGAAGAGCTTCAAGGGACGCTCGAATCTCATGAACAAAGAATGAACGAAAGAGCTGCAGGAAAATCGAAGAGTGATGTAGCCTTGCAGGCACATTCAACAAAAGAAACCAAAGGCAAAGGAAAGTATTTCGACAGAAGTAGAGGTGGCTACAACAAATCGAATGGTAGAGGAAACCAAATCGAAGGAGACGTGTCGAATCAAAGAAGACCACACCACGGCAACCAAAGAGGTGGTGCTGCAAACAGAGGAAGAGGTGGTGGTCGAAAACCTGATAAGAGTCACATTCAATGTTACAATTGTCAGAAGTATGGTCACTATTCGAGTGATTGTCCAGAAAAACGAAAGAATCAAGAAAGTGATGCAAAGCTGGCAAAACATGAAGAAGAAGAAGAGATGATGCTGATGGTCACAACAAGAGATGAAGATAGATTCAAGGACCAATGGTACTTGGATTCAGGATGTTCATCACATATGTCTGGAAGGAAAGACTGGTTCGTCAACATAAAACCCTCAACGAAAAATTTGGTAAAATTTGCGAATGACAACACCCTAGCAGCTGAAGGTATTGGTGATGTTATGATCATGAGGAAAGATGGCAAGAAGTCAGTAATTTCGAATGTATTATACATACCAGGCATGAAGAGCAATTTGCTCAGTATAGGGCAGTTGGTCGAAAAGAATTATAAAGTGTCAATCGAAGATAAGTTGATGAGAGTCGTTGATGCAAATGGGAGATTAATCTTGAAGGCTCCTATGTCTCAGAATCGAACCTTCAAGATTGAACTAAATGTGATGGAGCACAAGTGCCTTTCGACTGCAGCTAGCAGAGATGAATGGATATGGCATTATAGACTTGGTCATCTCAACTTCAGAGACATCAGAGATTTGAAGAGAAGAAATATGGTTTCAGGATTGCCTGAAATTGACATTCCAAACGAAGTATGTGAAGAATGTGTGCAGGCGAAGCAACACAAGAACAACTTCAGCAAGGATGCAGGAAGCAGATCGAAGGCTAATCTCGAAGTCATATACTCTGATGTATGTGGACCAATTCAGGTGGATTCGATGGGAGGTAACAAATACTTTGTTACATTCATAGATGATTTCAGTCGAAAGCTATGGACTTACCTGATCAAGAAGAAAAGTGAAGTGTTCGAAGTATTTATCAAGTTCAAGTCCATGGTCGAAAGACAAAGTGGTCGAAAGCTCAAAGTTTTGAGAACTGATGGTGGAGGAGAATATGTGTCGAAAGACTTCGACAGATTATGTGAAAAAGAAGGGATTGTGCATGAGGTGGTGCCACCCTATACTCCACAGCAAAATGGAATTGTAGAAAGGAAAAATCGAACCATCATGAACATGGTGAGAAGTATGTTGAAAGGCAAGAATTTACCCAAAGAGTTCTGGGGTGAAGCTGTTTCGACTGCAACATACATTTTGAACAGAAGTCCTACAAAAAAGCTAGAAGGAATTACTCCAGAAGAATGTTGGTCTGGTGTGAAGCCTAGCTTAAGTCATCTAAAAGTATTTGGATCTATTGCACATAGACATGTGCCAGATCAGTTGAGAAAGAAACTTGATGACAAGTCAAGTCAAATGATCCTAGTTGGATATCATTCGACAGGAGGCTACAAGTTGTTCGATCCAGAGAACAAGAAGATTGTGATCAGCAGGGACGTGATCATAGATGAGTTCAAAGAATGGGATTGGACTGCAAATGTCAAGAAAGATTCAGTGGGAATCTTATTCGAAGAGCCAGAAACTCAAGTCGAAAGAGAAGTTCGACAAGAGGAGCCAGTAGATATACCCAGTACAAGCAGACCTCAAAGAACAAGACGCATGCCTGCAAGATTGCAAGATTGTGTGATTACATCAGATGATGTGATAGATGATGAAGGTGAGCTGGTACATTATGCTTTCTATGCAGATGTCGAACCTGTTAATGCAGCTGAAGCATTAAAGGATTCGAAGTGGGTGAAAGCAATGAACGAAGAAGTAAAGTCTATCGAAGACAACAACACTTGGTCACTTGTCGAATTGCCTCAAGGCAAGAAGGCAATTGATGTCAAGTGGGTATACAAAGTGAAGACGAATTCGAAAGGTGAAGTAACTCGACACAAAGCAAGACTTGTGGCGAAAGGATTTCTACAGAAAGAAGGAATAGACTTCGACGAAGTTTTTGCACCTGTTGCTAGGATCGAAACAATCAGGTTGGTTGTTGGTCTAGCAGAAATCAACAGTTGGCACATATGTCAGATGGACGTGAAGTGTGCATTCCTAAATGGACCTTTAGATGAAGAAGTTTATGTTAAACAACCAGTTGAGTTTGTGAAACATGACGAAGAAAGAAAGGTGTACAGGCTGCATAAAGCCCTGTATGGTTTGAAACAAGCTCCAAGGGCTTGGAATAAAAAAATTGATAGTTTTCTAAGGGAGAAGGAATTTGTGAAGTGCATAACTGAACATGGAGTATATGTAAGAAGAAGCAAGAGTAAATTGCTTATACTATGTCTCTATGTAGATGATTTGTTGATAACAGGTAGCTGCAAGAGTGAGATCGAAGACTTCAAAGTTGATCTTAGCAAGGAATTCGAAATGTCTGATTTGGGTGAGATTTCATATTTCCTTGGTATCGAATTCCACAAGAGCAGTAGAGGTTTGATGATGCATCAAAGAAGATATGCAGGGGAAATTCTCAAGAGGTTTGAGATGGAAGAATTCAACTCAACTTCGACACCTGCAGAACCAAGACTACAACTGTCGAAAGATGCAGATGAAGATGATGTTGATCCAACCCAATACAGAAGACTTATTGGATCATTGAGATACCTTTGTCATACAAGGCCTGACTTAGCATACAGTGTAGGTATGGTAAGTAGATTCATGCAGAAGCCAAAGGTATCACATCTAGCAGCTGTGAAGAGGATACTAAGGTATCTCAAAGGAACTTTCGATTATGGCATTCTGTTTCCTGCAGTTGATAAAGGAAAAGAATGCAAGTTAGTGGGATACACTGATTCGAGTTGGTGTAGTGATGCTGAAGATCGAAAGTCAACAGCAGGATATGTGTTTATGCTAGGTGGTGCAACAATTGCTTGGAGTTCGAGAAAAGAACCAGTAGTAGCATTATCATCATGCGAAGCAGAATACATAGTTGCTTCTCTTTGTGCATGCCAAGCAACCTGGATGGTGAACTTGGTCGAAGAGATAACAGGGAAAAATCATGGAGCAATTACCATGAAGATAGACAGCATGTCAGCTATCAACCTGGCAAAGAACCCAATAGCACATGGTCGAAGTAAGCACATCGAAATGAGGTTCCATTATCTTCGAGAGCAGGTAGCAGATGGAAAGATGAATTTGGAACACTGCAGAACTGAGAATCAGATTGCAGACATCATGACAAAGGGAGTACAAGTCGAAGTATTCAGAAAGCTAAGGGCCATGATGAACATAGACAGTTTAGACACAATGAATTAGGTGGTGTGTTAAATTGTAATTCATAGGTGTCAAAATAAGATTTGATTTGTTTAGATTTAAATAGATTTGAATTTAAATCTAGATTAGATTTGATTTAGTAAAGAGATATTTTGGGCTTGGGTTTAGCTTAGGGAGCAAGCTAACCTAAATCTATAAATAAGAGGGAGTAACCCTTATTTTGTAATTCAAATCAAGTCATTCACAGTATTTTGCAGTTGCAAAGTGAATTAATAAAGATTCCACAGTTTGTGGGCAGAATAGAAATTCTGCAGAAATATCTCCATTGTTCTTTTCTTTGTTTGTTTCATAACTAATCATCAAGTAGTGGTCGAAATTCATCATAGTGTATTGGTGGATTTCCAACAGATTTTACATGAAAATAAAAGATAAAATATTAAGTGTTAAAAAAAAAGTAATTTTATATTTTTAGTATATCCGGTGATATAGTTGAATAAACAAAGAGGATAATAAATACGGGAAACCCTGAAGAGACATTTTGGGATTTGGCTGTTTTGTATCAACCACAGAATAGATAATAATGAAGCAGTTTGTCACGAAATCAACCACAGAAAAGATAATAATGAAGCAGTTTGTCACGAAATCCCTCTCTGTTTGCTCTTTGCCAACCACTCTTGAACAAATTGCTTCCCACCAATCCAAAGGTATCATTCCCTCTCATTACGTTAGATAATTAAAATGCTGGCTTTGTAGAATATAATGCTCGCCTCTCATTGTAATGCGAACAACACTAACAATCTTAGGTTCAAATCTATAGTTTTAAGCTTACTGAATTATTTTATCAGTAGTTTGGGTTTGGTAGGTCTTGCAAAGGTTGTGCTAAAGAAGGGAAAGACGCAGCTCTTTAAGGATGGCAACCCAATGGTATACAGTGGCGCCGTCGATAGAATTATCGGTCGGCCGCCTCCTAAGACCGGCGATATTGTACTGCTTTCAGACGGGGCTGAGAAACCAATAGGATGGGGCTTGTATAACTCTGTTTCTATGTTCTGTGTTCGCCTCATGCAGCTTGAACACGAAGCTATCAGGTTCTTCTATATCATTATTCGTTCATCACTTTTTGTTTCTTCTTAGCCCGTTGACATGGCCTTTCATGTTTAGTTTTTTATGACACAGTGATTCGCCATGTGCATTGAACATGGAAAAACTGCTCGAAACAAGAATTGACACTGCTGTTGAATTGCGTACAAGGTTGGGTCTTCCTTCCGTCCATACAAATGCATATCGTCTAATCAATAGTGAGGGTGACAGGTGAGAGAGATGAGCGGTTGGGTTGAACTTTAATTCAATTTGGTTTTGCTGGTTTCACAACTCTTTATTTTCCTTACAATTTTCAAATGGTAATGCTTCCAACATAATTAATTGTACGATTTTCAATTGGGGTTTACTGATATCACAACAGATTATCAGGATTGATAGTTGATGTCTTTGGAGATGTAGCTGTAGTAGCGGCATCTGCTGCTTGGGTTGAGAAGTACAAATCAGAGATAGAGGCTTGCATCAGGAAAATCAACTATATCAATCATATAAACTGGAGGCCATCTATTGATATTTTAAAGGAAGACGGAGTTAATGTGTCAGATTCAAAGGAAATCCTTTCATCTACTTGTCCTGAAAGAACCAAGGTATCCCGTGATATATTAAAATGCTGTTACATACATTTTTTGAGTTGTTTCTTTTTTCTATGTACTTTTCCAAGGCAATTATTCATATGAAGTTAAGTAATACGTTGCACTTGATAGTAGATTAGTGCCGCTATACAATGGCTTAATTCTTGTGTTTTTTGTTTGTTATTTCATTGATCCATGACACAAGGTAAATAGATGCAATGTGTCATAAAGTTGAAATATACCCAAACCAACCTTTCTATTCCAAGAGTCTTAGTTCTTACAAAATTATTTAAATGTTCATTATTTTATTTCATTTGGAAAAGACACTCAGAAATTTCTATTTTGAATGACAATAATTTAGTCTTAAAGGTTTTGATATCCTTACATTACACAAATTATATTTTGCATCTTACCCTATGTTTTGATGATTCCTGAATTAAAGATCTGAGAAGATGAGACCTCTATATATTCACCACTTAAACATTGTGTGGGTTTTAGGGAGGGCGAGGTAGAGGGTATTAGTAATAAACCAATCATAATCAAGTTGGGATTTTGGAATAACGATCATTGAGATTTGAAATATACCAAGTTTGAGATTTTTTCCCGTCTGTCAGATTATGGAAAATGGAATTGTGTACACAATTTCACTGAAAGGACAGAAGACTGGATTCTATGCAGATCAGCGCGAGAGTCGTCAGTTTATATCAAAAATTTCAGATGGTCAAAGGGTTCTTGATCTTTGTTGCTATAGTGGTGGTTTTTCTTTAAATGCAGCCCATGGAGGTGCTCTAAATGTCACTGGTATGTTGCTAATTCTTTCCTTTGTTTATGATTAAGGATATATACCATTATAAATTGGTTGTTTTAGAAAAGAAAGGATTACAAATTCTGAGAATTGGGGCCAGTATACTGATATGATAAGTCTGGTCATGTTGGCAATTTTGTTAGGTGTTGACTCATCAATGCCAGCTCTAGAACTTGCTAAAGAAAATGTTGTACTTAATAACATTGATCCTGAAAGAATTTCCTTTTTGAAAGAAGATGCAACTGAATTCATGAAGGCTGCTCTTCTGAGAGGTGAATCTTGGGATATTGTCATCATTGATCCTCCTAAATTGGCACCTTCGAAAAAGGTATCAATTATGGCTGCAAACTTATAGTTATGTTTTTATATACTTTGACACTTGGGCTTCCTAAAGAAGAGTGTAATTGGGTTTCTTTGCCGTTGGTTATATATATTTGTTTTTAACTTTTATGATGTATGATGATGCTATATTGTCAACATTACAAAACCGGTCATATTATGGTACTTGTATGTGTACAATGTTGCTTCAGCTCATTATCACGTCATTGTTGCTTCTGCTCATTTTAAGCTTTTTGTCTTGGAAATTGGAATGTTGTGTGTTACAGGCGCTACATGGTGCATCTGGTATGTACAGAAATTTGAATTCATTGGCTATGCAACTTACAAAAAGAGGTGGTCTTCTGATGACATGTTCCTGTTCTGGAGCAGTTACCCAAAGTGGCATATTCCTGCGTATCCTACAGGTATTGTATGTCTTATCAGAAATTTATTGCCCGTGCATTATTCTATTATTACTATAAAGAATTTCTTACAAGTTATAAATTTAACCATCACCTTCTTGTCCTTGCAGTTGTAAATAACATACATTTGTATTTATTTTTTAATAATCATATTTGGCTCATTAGGTTTAAACAATCTACTTAAAGAATTAGTATTTGTACTCTATTTAAAACATCGAAATATATCAGAAATATTTTCCACCCTCGTTTTAGTACACTTGATAATGATAATATGATACCACTGTGCTATTTAGCCTATTTGGTCAATCGCCGGCTTGGATTGATGTAAGAATTAATAAATGTTGGATGATGCAATCAAGTTTATAGGAGAGAAGTATGTGGTCTAGGTGGTGAGTGACAATGCAGCAAATTTCAAGGCAGTAGGAGAAATGTTGATGAGTACACGACACTTTATATTGGAGCCCATGCATTTCCCACTTCAATGCTTTGATATTTGGAGGATTTTAAAAACGTCTAAATGTTTATTTGGTTACTTTATAGCAGGGAAGAAAGATCCTGCTCACGTATACTCTAGAACTAGAATAGTCCTGATAAGAGTTTTCAAGAAATTAAAAAATGGAACGGATATGATTATGCTTGCTATGGACTCGTCGTAATTATCGATTTGGCTCTAGGTTGTCTCAATGATTTAAAATCATTATTGTTGAGTATTTGACACAGCTGAGTGAAAATCTAGTAGATATGCATCTTTGCTACAGGGATGAAAAGTAGCAAACATGATATTGGATTGCCAATTTTGGAATAATGTATCATATGTTTCAAGTTTGTTGCTTCTTTTATGGAAGTGCTTTGATTGGTTGGATCTGAATGCAACACCACCATCGGTACCACATACTAGGAGATGGATTGTTGTAAAGAAAGATTAAACACAAGTCTGGAAATGTTGAGAAATTGTGAAGTTAATGACTATCTCGATGATATCCTATTCGTGTTTATAGTTTATAGTATAGTTTGCTCAATCAATACACTTTTTAATGAGTTTAGTGGATAGGCATTCCATTGAGTATCCTTCTTAATCCAAGTTAATGAATTATTACATATACTGGTTTTATCAGGGTGCAGCATCTATGGCAAAGAGAAAAATAACTGTTCTAAGAGATGCTGGAGCTGCTTGTGATCATCCTATTGATCCATCATACCCAGAAGGTGCATACCTTACCAACATTCTGTTGAGAGTTTCATGAGCATTGTCTGTACTCTGTTGTTCACTTGATTTGTCCAATGTAATTCTATATTTTGATGCAATTTTGCAGAATTTCTCAGTTACTGACAAGAGAATGTGTTTTACTCAATTCAGTTGAAAGAGAAAATAGGATTAGGTTTAATTTTTTTAGTTAGTTCTGCAAATTGCTAATGGCAATGAATTGAAATATTAATGAATCCTTCTAAAACCAGGTTGCTTTTCTTAAACTTGTCTTTGGATTATGATTCCATCACACTGTGCATATGTTTGAGAAGTTTGAGATTGTCTCAATTAGTAAACTTCACAATTCCAAGTTGACTTCAAAAGGAATTTGCATGAAAGAAAGCAGGTGATTTTCTTACCTTGGCTTGACAAAATATAAAATAGTTAAAGCCATGGCCAAAAAGGAGCTTAATCCTCGATAGATAAGCAATGCCAAGGAAGTCTTTCTTCCCACCAAGCCAACTAGAAGTTGACAATACAAGTTTCTTCTTGCCGCTAAAACTATACGTGTTGTACCGATTCTGCAATACCACGGTCCTTTCTCCAAATCAACCTCAATCCTTCCATACAACTTCCAAAAAGTTGGCAAAGCAGCAGTTCGCATCCAAACAATAAGATCCTCATGCTTATTCAATTGTTTCATAAACATTCTCAAAATGAGCAACTTATCTGTTGGTGTAAGCAAATTGAGAATGCTGATACAATCACAAGATAAACATGGTATACACAGGAAAAAAAAAAATCATAAAACCAGGAACAGAAATGTATGCAAATATTTGGTTTTACAAATGATTGTTCTATTTAAAGACTGGCCTTAATTATTTGTTTTTTAAAAGAATCTTGCAAATATCTGAGTTTTTAGCAAATGCCTATTTATTAAGTTCAAATCATCTTTTACCGCGAAAATATACATATAAGCTTATAAGGACTTACATTTTCATTAGAAAGTTAAAATACACTATAAATATAAGATTGATACATTAAAAGCAAAGTTCTCTACATAATCCTGTATCGTTCTTGATGATATAGAACAGAATCACAACTACAACTCTAAACTTTTGTAATCATTTGTTAAAATATTTATCACATTTTACTCATGTCAGTTGTCAAACTAGATATTTTTCTATATTATTTATTACAAGTAGTTTTTCCTTGTTATACAACCAAGGGCAAACATATACATAGCTCCAGCATCACAATATGTGCTAACTTTATTCCAACACTATCTCCTGTATAACATTGCCGGCCTAACAGCCTTCTGGTAAAACTTCCCATTCATTTTGAGCGGTACATTCTTATCATAGAACATCTAAGATTCTCCTCCATTTCTACTATGAACCATTTCGATGATTGACATCTAGTTCTATTTTTCCTCTAGTTTGTACTATAGACTCAAAGTATATAAAATGCATAACGTGTGGTATGATATGATCTTCAACCAACTTTCACTCCTAATAATTGAACCAACATGTAGTGCAACTATACAACATTTATTGACGGGAGAAAAATATTTAAATTGCTGAGAAATCATACAAATAAAGGAATATATGATTCGTAAAAACTAATAGACCTGGCTGAAATTTCAAGGTCACTTTATCAAATAAAATTAAACTAAGACAAAAAAATAAATAAACTCTACATTGTCCTTTCCTTTTCACCTAATTACAACATCAAAAATTATTTTTTTAATTAACAAAACTAAAAAAAATTAATATTTGAGCCTCATACAATAAATGAGAACTTAATTTTTTTAATCACTGACTAATTAATAGGGACCTACGGCATGTGTAAGGTCAGACCAACTAACAAGGACGTACAGCCTATTTTACACAGGTTCAGGTTCAGTCTAGACAAATTTTTTTAGGGGAGTGCTCATTCCACTCTTATAGATTCTCCTACACTAATGTTAAAAATTCATTTTGTTCCCACTTCTGTAGATGCATTTCTAGACGCACAAATATTTATCATTTTTCAGTCTAAATTGAAGAGGCGACCTTATTATGTAAAAAATACTATGTGAAAAAAATATGTTCAAAGATGCATCTCCGTACACACCATTATTCAAAAACATGTTGGTGCTCCAGAGATACAACTCCAGACGCTTTCTTTCATTAATCCGCGTCAAAATCCTTCTCTCTTCCTTATTCTTCGTTTTCTATAGAAAAACACTTGACATCTCCCCCTCACAACCATTACATTGAAGATTTGAAGCATTACATTGAAGCATCAAAGAAGCTCTTTCTCCTCATTTCAATCATCTCATAACATCAAAACAACTCTTTCTCATAAGTCAATTCCATTTAGGGTAAGTTTTTCAAATTTTCTTTTCTTTTTATGTTTTAATTTTTAGTTAGTTTTTTTAGGATTCATTAGTCATTTTAGGTACATTAGATTGTAGTGTAAACTAAATTGATAGTCTATTAGAACATATAATGATGAATTTTGGTTCTGTTAGAGCAAAAAATGGGTATGCCATGAATGCTGTAAACCGCAGGTTTTTTAGAGATGTATCTCAAGATTCACTCAAATATCTTATGGAGATGTATCTACGGACCGTGTTTTGTTTAAAATATGGTGAAACTCATAATAACACATTTTATTTGTGATTTGGATGCGTCCGAAAATGCATCTCCGGACGCAGAAAGGACATTTTTGAATTTTTAAGGGTGTTATAGACACAACTAAGGATGAAATGAGCATTTTCCGATTTTTAAATAGAAAAAGACCTAGACTTTTTATAAACTTATTTAATTAAAAAAGTCAAGCCACATGCCATAAAAAAATATTCTAAGGCTATCAAATCGACATATTTAAGTAAATAAAAATAAATTTATTATTATTATTATTGTATTTTATTTATACTTTGAAATAAAATATAAAAATAATGATTAGTTATTTGAAGAACTTATGAAAATAAGCTGGAAAAAAAAATCATGAACAATGTCATAAGTTGTTTTCATGAGTTCGATTAAACAAATAGTATCGCAAAACTTATGTTAATAGGTAAATTTGAATAAATAAATATAAATAATTATTTAGTCTCATTAGTATTTTAATTTATTAGTATATTTAAATATTTGTTGAATTGCTCATTGTAACACGGCAGGAGAACTGACTTAGGATGTTTTGCGTTTGATCGTAATGTTGCGGTTAGCAAGAGTTGTCACCGACTTTTTTTTTATCCAAAAGGAAAGGTGGAAAAGAACAGGAAAGACCTTTGAGATTATTTCTTGAGTTAGGAGGGTAGATTATGAAAAGGGAAGGTGTTAGCACCCTTTTCATTCATAGTTATCTATGGGCTCTTAGTTGCTTGCTAGATCACTTACTTTTGTTTGAAAAATGTGTTTTGTGGTGGTTTTTGAAAGTATTTTGATAATGCGCATTCGTTTAGGCAAAATTTGTAATGGTTCTCGTTCGTAAGAACGTATACAAAGTGTTGGTCTTTTTGAAAATATTTCATGTTTGGAAAGTGTTTGTTTGTTTTGAAAGTGTTTGTTTTGAAAGTGAGCAAGGATGTTTGTTTTGGAAGTGAGCAAGCAACTAAGAACGTTTCTACCTACTCAAAAGTCTTTTGGTCATTACCTCCTTTCCTTTGATATTGCTATCTCACCAATGATTGGTAAGAAGACATATCTTTGGATGTAAAGGGACGGGCGTGTGTCATCGTATAGTCATGATAGCAATATTGTGAGATATCTTAGCATTTCTATTTGAGGGACTAAGATCATTTGAAAGACAACATTTGTAGCGTCATCAAGGGACTATGCTATTGTATTTTTGATTGATTTTGCTAAGACATCCCACATGCGTAACATGACCATTTTTGTAAGGAAACAAGTGGAATTACCCTAAGGATGCACGTGTGAATAGTGTGTTTGATTTGCATGCATTTAATCTTTGATTAGGGTTATCTACTTGTTGATTTTATCTTTCCATACAAACCCTAATTACTAGCATTTATATGAAAGCGATAAATTGCGGAAAGTAAATTTACTACGCTATTACATCACTTGGGGATGGGGGATATAAATTTACAAATGGGGATGACAAGTAAAGTAAACCCTAATTACTATTACAAGACTTTGAAAATTACATAATTTATAATGCGAAAATAGTAAAATATGCAAGAAGATGTAAAGTGAGAGAAATTGTTTTTTAGGGTTTTTTTATAGAAAAGGTTTTGTAATTAATTTCATTGAAGAAAAACCTAAGTCTAAGTTAACTTAAAAAAAAAACTAATTGTTTAAAAAAATGTTTTTGAGGTTTCATTTGAAAACAAAGGTTTTATAGTGTTAGGTCATTTTCAAGCAATGCAATATGTCCAAAATAAATTAAAAAATCTCAAAAAATCAAGAAATTTGGTGCCTGAGCTGACACGGGCCGTGTCAGTGGACACAGGCACCCGTGCCAGGATCTGTCCATGACTTCTCTGCACTTTTTTTGTTCCATCAAATCTGACACGATCGTGTCGTGTGACACGGGCACCAATGTCAGCCTCTGTCCATCTTTTTTTTGCTCGTGTTTGAACCAGGAACACTGACATGGGCACCCGTGTCATCCACTGTCCCTGCATTTTATTATGTTTTTAACCCAACTAATCTGACACGGGCCGTGTCGTGTGACACAGGCACTCGTGTCAGCCTCTGGTCTGGCTTTTTGCTAGTTTTTCTCTTTTGATCTGTCTTGTTATATCTTTTGAACACAAAAGCAAATGATGTATGAATAATGATATCACAGTTTGAGAAAGTTTACCTCTTGAAGTGAAAGCTTTAAAACACGTACAAATGTTTTAGGGTGCAAAGTGGTGATTGATCGAGCTCCTTTGAACCTTTTTTAAGTAGCTCCAACCTTCCTTTTATGCTGAAAATGGCTGAACCGCTCCAACCAAGTCAAGTTGCAATGTATGTTTTTTTGAGTTTGGAAGATGGTGATAGTGATGTTACAAAAGTTATTCTTATGTTTGAACAACTTCTATATGGTGTATGTGAAGTGTTTGGATGGTTTGTTTGGAGAAAACTTGCAAGGTATGAGATTCAAAGATTTGGACTTCAAAGCTAAAAAATGGAGGTTTTATGGACAAATCTGTTTTTTTGACAGCAAAAATGATTTTGAGTGTTAGTTTCTCCTTCTATTCTCTGGCCCCTTTATCTTGCAATTGGCTTCTCTATTTATAGAGAATGTTTGAGACTTGAAACAAACTCAGATTTTGAATCACATGTCATGGCTAGGTTAGATTATACATGAAGTAAGCTTGAAGATCATAGTTCTAATGCTTTGTACTTTGTTGCATAGAGTTGCTGGACACTTTAAGCATGCCCTTCTGATTTTGTATGTTGAGTGTTTGTAGAAGAAATAAGTTAGAGGCTCAAGGAGAGCTGACTTTGTGATTAAAGCTACTTTGCAAGAATGACAATGTCAACTTTGTGCCAAAAATGGAAAGATCACTTGGACAATGCTTAAACCAAATGGACCATAGCTCAAAAGTTTGTGTAAATATTAAACTATGGTAAAATTTTCAAGTCACAAGGCCTGCAAAGTAAGATTATGCAGCACATCATGCCAATTGGATTATGTGTTCTTCAACAAAAATGGCTTACAATTCAAGAATGAATGCTCAACTTCAGGCCCTTGAATCTCCTAGCTCAAATATGATAAATTCATGCTCTTGGATGTTTTAGAAATCTTGAAACACCCTCTACAACTTTCATGTTGACCACTTTTGTTAAATCAAATTTGAACTTGATGAAAATTGGCCAAGAAGTTGGGATAAAAACCTGACCAAAACTGTTGAAAATTTCTCTAAGTGTTTATTCAAAAATACCATGACTTCATGAATTTATAACTTAAAATCCAAGCATTTCTAGAAAAAGTTCTGCTCTACATTGTTTTAGATCTCATTTAGATCTATAACTTTCAAGTTGGAAGCTTTCCTTGAATCATC